CTATCTATCTATCTATCTATCTATCTATCTATCTATCTATCTATCTATCTATCTATCTATCTATCTATCTATCTATCTATCTATCTATCTAGTCTAATTACCTCCCCTCTGCTTCTCTGCAGCAGGTGTTCCGGCCTCTGACCCTGCATAGAAAAGTGCCGGAGGCCAGGTGATGGCATTAGCGAAGTAATGTCTATTTTTACGCGCACAGCCCGCCTCCTTCACCGCTATAGAAAGAAGCCATGTCGAATAAGTTTTTATACACTTGTCACTTATCATGCTCGTTGAAACTAGGGTGTATAACCCTACTTCGCTCGCTTTTTAGGTTAAATTACAGGATCCAAGGCTTTGTGGAAGCATCATTACTCTGTTTGCTGAGTTTTATTTGTATGATGCTCAGACATTTTTGTCCACCTGGTCGTTACTAAGACGGCGGACTTGACTAAGTCAGATTGTTTTCATTGACGTGCGATGATCTCTTACATTTACCAATCATCGGTTATTCTAGTTATCCCGAGTCAGCTGACCAAGCAAATATCATTTTAAACGAACACGGAAAGACAGAGCAGCTGCTTGCAGTGCACGGCACATCAATTACACTATCAGGCGGGTTAACCAAATATTAACAATACAACGCAGACCCAGATAAATTGTCCTAGCAGCATGCTGGAGCCCAGCTTCTGCCAGCCCTGGGGATTATGTATCATGACCACAACTACCATACCGTGTGTTGACTATATCGCGCACCATGAATTACACAGAAGAATGCACAACCTCAGTGCTCAATGTTATTCACAAAAATACAGTCAGACCACAGCCCTAGCATGAGTAATGGTGAAACCCTCTTAGCGCAGACCACTGCAAAGCTTGTGACTGGTGACAAGTGTTACATTTCACCAAAAACCACTTCGAGTTTTGTCTGGATTTGAACCCAGCTCTACATACAAATGAGTTATTTTTTAAACAAACAAACAAATAAAAAAACTCCTAAAGAACCAAATTTTATGTAGGCGCATTGGAAGAAAAATAAGGACTCCTCAAAATAAGAAACGTGAAATCTATAATAAAATAATTTCCATCTACGAGGTCTGAATTTAAGTTAGAAACATGCTTTAAGGTTATAATGACATAACATACTTAACAGGTCAAGAAATACCCAGTCAAGCCAACATGTTAGATCTTTGATTTATATTTGATCTATTAGCCAGGTAAATGTTGATGCGTACGAATCTGTTTTGTCATATTTAAGCTCTTCCCTCTCAGTGATTTTCTATTTTCCACACAAACATTTCTTCCAACAGTTACTAAGATAATCTTTGAAAAAAAAGACCTTCATTGTGACTAAACTGGCCACATGTTGAAAAAGTCTTTTAATTATGTGCTTGGTCTAATTAGCTGTTGAAAATAACAACAAAATCCAAGGTCGAGTTGCTCTATTACCTACAAATCATAGGTTTTTTATATAGATACTCCTGTTTGGTGGTTCTGAATCCATGCCAACACCCTTTAGCTGATGCGTAATTTACCTCGCCGTGCGTAATTAACTGCGTCGCCATCAGACCCCGGTACGTGTAACACTTTATTTTGAACGGCGCAATACGTTTCCATTAAACGTTATTAAAGCGCAGGGAGTGACGAGCTCTCATTTGTCTTGTCAGGACATCTGACAACCTCGTTAGCTCCCATTTTCCCCTGTCAGCTCACAGCGCGACACGGACACTGACTTCAGCCACTCCTGGCAAGTGAGTGATAAATGCGCCTACTCAGCCCTGCGCAAAACAGCAACATTATTGTTGCCAGCACGAAGCATCAGAATCAATCACAGTCAAGTCTGAGTGGCAGGTGTCAGTCTTAACACTTTGCTATTATTATTATTATTATTATTTTTAACTTCAGACCACTGTCAATCTTTAATCTAATTTAAAGGGTCACAGATTTGGGGGGCATAATATCGCCTCTTTGACTTCTCGCTCCAGCCTAACTGACCATGAGTAGCCCACATTTAACGCTCCACACAGGCTGGAGGTTTCGCAAAATGAACTGTTATGAATATTTGTAAGCAAATGGATGATCTCGTTACTTCGCAAAAAAGGGGCAGAAGAACACTTAATGGCATTGAATCTTTCCGCTCCCTGCACTTTCAGATGCGATTGTAGATCGAAGTCAGACTTGTCACGTTGAGGCAAAGTGAATTCCTAACATCCAGGACGTGCCTGTCTACTCCGGACAAATTGCATCCAATCACCCCGGGGGAATTCGGCTAATGTCTCGATCCAGGGCCGGGGAGCATGGAGAGAAAACAAATCAAACTCTGCACACAGAGCGTGTAGGGCTTATTAAAACATTTCGCACAGGGGAAAGAAAGGACGAAACGAGGAATATGTGTCTGTACACGTGTATGCGTGCGTCGGCTGAGGGGATGGGCTAATTATGATACATTATCTTTGGACATTGTAGTTTTTAATTGTATTTATCAGATGTGCAACCTAAACATTTTCACACTACATGCCAGCTGTTTGAGTGGCGGAGAGCGCATGAACTGGGCCTGGCTGTTTAATCACTTCAGCAGGTTGGAGTGGTTGACTAACTTTGGTCTTATTTAAACTCATGTGGGCCTAGCAAGATATTCGTGACGCTAAATACAAACAATATGCTCTAAAAAAATCCTAAGGCTAAATGCACACGAAAGATTCTAACAAATTCTCGTTTGAAGCAAGTTTAAACGCGAGGTTCAAATAGAACTTACCTCCTTATCTCCATTGCAATTAATCCTAATTTAGATGGATGAAATGCCCCCCTTTGAACGCAGCATCAGCTCTGCGTGCACCCTCTGCTTTCTGGTAACGTGCTCGGTCCCCTGGACATTTTTCTCTGTCTGCTACAGCGACAGTAAACAATAAGCTCATGAGGCGTAGGCTATGGCAACATAATGTTCTGCATGGCTACAGAAGGGAGGTCGATCATTACACAATTTGTTTTAAATTTGATCAGTCACAAAGAGATTGGCATCTCCCTGGAAAGCCAGGGCAGGGTTGAGTTACTGTAGCTTAAATCCAGGTTTCACTCGTGTTATCCTTACAGACCCCTTCACGTCAGCATCTTCACTGTAGGCCGAAATAATGTCAGGTATTTAACTTTGGCTAGAGTGTCCGTGGTTGTTAAATATGCAGTATAGGCGGAAAGACTGGGATCGCATGCAAATGTGGGTCGATATTTGCTATCATAAATATTTGATTTGCTAAATTGTTTCCCTACTGACATAAAAATTCAGAAACTGGCAGTATGATTTTAATGTGTGTGTGTGTGTGTGTGTGTGTGTGTGTGTGTGTGTGTGTGTGTGTGTTGTGGTGTGTATTTGCGAGTGTGGGGGACACAGAGAGAAAGAGGGGGGAGAGGGAGAGAGAGAAAGGTTGGTTTGTGTAGCAGCGTGGTGACGGCAGAGGGAAAACCGGCTGGACAGATTTGCGTTTACGCCTGATCTGCTTCTGGAGAGCGGGGCTGTGTGGGAAGGGAAAGGGAGCACCTGGCTCGACCGCTGTATCCCATCTCGTTTTATTGACAGCCTGATAAGCAGGGACCAAGCCGTGCGGTTTCCAGCGCGGATGTCGAGCACCCTGCTGCGTTGCACAGTATCAAGGCCTCTTAATGGCTGTTCCTCTAAATAATGGCCCAAACACAGCCAGTCCTGACTGGCCCGTACCTGCGCTGCCCCGGTCTCTTCCTGAGAGACAAGCGGTGGCGCGGTTGCCCATTTACTCAGTCTTGTTCAAATTGACACAAACATCAGAGGTTGTGAAATAGGATTTGAGGCTTTTAGCCTGTCTTAGTAAAAGGGAAACTAAAGCCCCCATTATGAGTCACAGTGACAACTTTATAGGGCTGTAGAAATAAAAAGGTTTTAGCGCAGACTAAAACACTGGGATTGTCTACAAATATAAGTAATGTAATGACTCTTACAGCCGGAGTACGTCATAGGGAGCAGCCAGGGGGCATCTATAGACCCCGAGCGGGACTTTCCTGCATCCGTTCCCCCCACACCTGTTGCGCTCTGAGCATGCTCAGATTTAAGAACACAACAGTGTACTTGCTAATCTATTAATATTCATATGACCTATCTATGACCTAACACCAGCAACTGTTATAAGCAGTAACTGTTAATGGGGAATTTCAAAACTTGTTAGGAAGATGCATTTTTGTTACTTATAGCTTGTACATTCGAAAGCTGGAACAAATATGTAAATAGCGCTAAGACTCTTCACAGTTTCAGTGTAAGACCGGATGCTCGCTCAATCTCAGCCAATCCTCTTTATTCTTAAAATCAACGGGAACACATCCGAGTCATAAAAAATATATAATAATAATAATAA